GTTTCAGGTGTACAATTCTGTAACACATCATCTGTAGATTGTATTGTGTAAAAGCTGAAGGAGTAATAGTTTGTTTTTTAGGGTCACTATGTAGGTATAAATGTCCACGAACCCCCGGGACCAAAACGGCCTGCTTTGATGGCGATAAGAAACCAGCCTCACCGACCTTCTTTCCCGCGCGCCAGGCTGAGGCCACAGGGGAGTGTTGGTGGCCCGGGTGAGGGGGTCTAGGTTAGAAAGACCTACATTCTCAGTGACCTCAAAGTTTGCTTTTTCATCTATAAAATGGGAATACTACCACCTCCTAGAGCAGCGGTTCTCAACCTGTGGGTCCCGACCCCTTTGGCGGTCGAACGACCCTTTCACAGGGGTCGCCTAAGACCATCCTGCATATCAGATATTTACATGACGATTCATAACAGTAGCAACATTACAGTTATGAAGTAGCAACGAAAATAATTTTATGGTTGGGTCACAACATGAGGAACTGTATTTAAAGGGCCAGAAGGTTGAGAACCACTGTCCTAGAGCTTTAAAAGTTGACATACAGTTGGCACCAGTGAGTGCTAATTTCCCAAAGCTGACAGTAGACACTCAGTAAATGTTGGTTTTGTGCCCTCCTTCTGAGACCTTCCGGACCTCCATTAAGACTCTTCTAGGGGCCCAGCCGGCTTGGCTCACTGGTTGAGCGTCGACCTATGAACCAGGAGGTCACAGTTCGATTCCCAGTCAGGGCACATGCCCAGGTTATGGTCTCGATCCCAGTGGGGGCCATGCAGGAGGCAGCCAATCAGTGATTCTCTCTCATCATTGATGTTTCTATCTCTCTCACTCTCCCTTCTCTGAAATCAATAAAAATATATACATATATTTTTTAAAAGACACTTCCAGGGGCCTGACCCTTTGTTCCCAAACAGAGGAGGAAGGTCTCTTCAGTTCCTACTTGTTCAGGGGAAGGTCTACTCGGCTGTGTCGTCGCTGATGTTGTTATTATTTGCTTTGTAATTTTGGTGAAACGAGAGTAGATCAGGGGTCCTCAAACTTTTTAAACAGGGGGCCAGTTCACTGTCCCTCAGACCGTTGGAGGGCCGGACTATAGTTTAAAAAACAACTATGAACAAATTCCTATGCACACTGCACATATCTTATTTTGAAGTAAAAAAGCAAAACGGGAACAAATACAATATTTGTATTTGCATGTGGCCCGCGGGCCGTAGTTTGAGGACCCCTGGAGTAGATAATGAAAGGAGAGAGAGAAAGTCCTAAAGCAGGACTCCTTCTGCAGGATGAAAACAAACAGCATTCGGAACAAAGACAATGCTGAAGGGAAGTCAGTAGGACACAGAAACGAAGTTGAGAAAGAACTTTTTCTTCTCCTGTCCCCTTTTCACTTTTCAACCTTGAGGCTCCGCTCCCTCAGGTCTGAGCAGGAATAAAGAGCCCTGCTTGTCCAAACAGCCGCTAAATCTGAGAGCAAACAGCTCGGCTCTTCTGCCGGTTCCTGTCAATACCCCGTCTCCGCCCGCTCGGCCCGCAAAGCCAGCTGTGCCGCGGCCTCCTCCTTCACCCGCCCCCGCGAGGGGATTCCACAGGCCGTTCCCAGAACAGCCCTGGCGATTTTTGTCGCCTTTTCAAAAAACACAAAAATCTGACTCACGTGGCTCTCTGTTTCGGCTGCTCAGCTTAAACTTATTTTAAAAACTCCCCTTCATAGTAAATAGTGATGCTGAGGCTATGATACCACTGCTGCCGCAATATAAAGTGATTGTTTTTCTCTTGCAACAAATTATCGTAGTTTTATTGTTGAAAAGCTTTGGGCAGCAACTTTAGGAAATGGCAAAACTATCTGGGATTCAGAATATACAACTGGCGCCAGACACTGGGAATGTGTTTTACGTGGAAATGGAAGTTTGGAGGGCAAAATCTACCTTTGTTAATTTAGCACAGGATTTACAAAGTGATTACTAAGAGCTGGTAGTCGGAGAAGCAAAATAGAATCAAAGTTATCTGAACGCTAGTGTAGACTCTTTTCTACGAATCATTTACAAGGAATTCCGTAGAGCTAACAGCATCACACAGAAAGTTACAGTATGCATTTAACAGTGGGTATAAATATCTTATTTTTAATACTTTATGTAGTAGATATTAATAGCATCTTCTTTACTATCCTACTAATCGGTCTCAATTTGTTAGAATTGCATATAAGCTAAGGAACTGATATCCAAACTACCTCACTAAAAAGTTCCCCCAAAATAATTTTTATTTTAAAATTTGGATATGGTAAATTGTGAAACCAAATTAACATTTGGGTCAATACTCCAAAGAGTTAGGATATCAAGGAGAATCCTCTTGCTAATATTCTATATGCCAGAAACACTGCCTCTCTATTTCTTTCAATAGGATTTATTGTTTTTTCCCTTCCTGTTCTACAGCAGCAATACATATTCACAGAAGAAATTTTAGAAAATTCAGAAAACCACAAAGAAGGGGGGAAAGTCTCCCATAATTCCATCCCCCAAAGAGAACTGCCTGTAACACATTCTGGTACACTCGTTCGGTGCCCTTGAGTGTGTGCACAAACCTTTTCTTTACTTTTTTAAAACAAAACTTGGGCCATACTGTGGGTATTGTTTTTGGATCTGTTTTTACGGGTTTTACCAGCTAAGAAATTGTTCATTAAGTCCTATTCTGAGGCACCGAGACTTTTTCTGGACCATAAATAGTGGTGCAGGAACATGCAGACACAGGATCTACTTCATCTTCTTGGATTAAATTCCCACAAAGTGAATTGTCGGGTCAAAATATATGCATATTTTAAGGCGCTTGTTACACAAGACACACCAGCAAAGCTGTATTAATTCTGCACCAACAGTGTGAGAATACCCTTCCCCCTGTCCCTTTGCCCAAATAATATTTTAATCGTCACAATTTATCACGCACAAAGTTATGTCTTTGTCCATTTTTATTACTAATCATATTCAGATGTTTTCCCACATTTTTACTGGTCACCTGATTGCTTCCTTGGGGAGCTGACGGCTCTTTCCCTCACCCATTCTTCCAGTTGTAAAAAACAGTGTACTGAAAATATTAACCCTTTGATTATAATTTATGTCCCAACTATTTTTTTTCTCCAGTGGTCACCTGTTTCATAGTGTTGCTTGACATACAAAAATTTATATCTGTACAGAAACCTATGTTTTTCTCTCATTTTCTTTTGGATTTTTAAGCTTAGACAGGCGCTTCCTATCCCAAGAGCAAATAAACAATCTGTTTTACATATTGAACTAATATCGGGAGGGCACCGATTTTGATTGCAATGATTGAGAGGGCAAAACAGAGTTGGAAAGAAAGAAGGGATCCCGAAGGAGAAAGAGGTGAGAGGCTTCTAAAAATAACATTTGGTAGACATCGGCCAAATGCGAGTCTAATTTGCTTCTTAGTTAATGAAGGAGAAAATGGAGATGGGGAAGGAATAAAAGCTCCATTCTAGAACGGTACTAATAAAACCCCCTCTGAAGACAATCACAACATTCTGGTTATACACGGAAATCTAACCCTAAAATAATAAAGAATATATTGATATAACAGCGCTGCGAATAAGTCCCATTTAGGCTGTGTTATTTTAACAATGACCCAGAAAATGTTGAACTGAAGTAGTTTGTGACATGCCCGGCCTGGGGAGCATAAAACCACGGAGAGCCACAGGTTCTCGGGAGCGTACCTGGAACAGGCCCTCTGTCTGCACTCTGTTCATCAGTAACTGTGTGCCAAAGGGCTAATGCGTATTATTTATAAAGAGCCCACACACAAATGTATGTGCGTGTACATGTAAATGTTACTTATTTCCAAAGGTAAAAAGAAAAATCTATTGAATCCCCTTCACTTTGTCCCATCATTAACTGTAACCATAAGCTCATCATAGTTCAACAGAAGAGAACGGCTTCGGCAGCTCTGGGCCACACCCCTGCACCTCCTGCCTGAGGGTGGAGAAGGGGCCTCTGGGAGCATCCGTGTGGGAGGAGGCCACAGAGGCCAGAGACTTGCTCACCCAGACTCTGGCCAGAGCGGCCAGACAGTCCAGTATTCCTGCGGCGGCGGGCTGCCAGGCGGCTTCCTCCCCAGCGACCGTGGGTGCTGGGACCCTGGCTCTGTCCTCCTCGCGTCCTCACTCGCTGCCCCGGCCTCTTCCTTCCCCTTCCCTTTCCCCTTATTTGTGAGCCACCAACACCCAGGCTCCAACACATTTCTTTTCCGCTCAAGTTACCCCGTCAATTTGTTGTCTGCAATCCTGAGCTGTGACCTGGACAAACTCTTCGTGTGTTTATTTGTTTGTTTGTTTCTTTTCTGTTTCTTTCCTTTTTCAAACTCTTGGTTGCCCCCACCCTGAAGCGGCTCTCCTGGGCTGTCACTGACAGACGCTTAACTTTCCTACAAACATTAAAAAGTGAGTCGGGTGTGGATGTGAACCTATGCATTCTCTCTCACTGCATGAAGGGACTTGGAGGAGAGAGGGGACAAAGGGACATGTGGGGGTGACCGCTGGGGGCAGCTCACCGATGACCTCCCGACCTCTCTGTGGGCTGCAGCACAGGTGACAGCTCAGTGCTGCGGGACCCCCACCAGGTCGGGGAGGTGGGGGGATAGGGGCACCCCGCTTTACCTTGTGCCTTGCAGCTCCAGAGAAGCCCCAGCCCAGAGGCCAGCCCCAAACCAGCACAGGGACAGACCATGGACTCAGGAAGGTGCCTCCCGAGGGAGGGGACACGGGACACCCCTCAGTGCCCGGACCCTCGGGGTGGCTCCTCTGGGCTCCCTGCCAAGGGCATGGCCAGGGAAGGGAGCGACGCCGCAGGGGAGCGTTGGTCTGTGGCCACCTCTGGCGGTTCTGGGGCGGGGACAGCAGGGCGGCATGGCCAACAAGAATGAGAGTCCTGGTCGAATTCTCATCCTCACATGTTCTTTTTTTTTTTTTTTTTTTTTTTTTTTTTTTTTTTTTTTTTAAAGTACTTGGATATTTTAATGAACTCCCCTCCATGTAGCTTCAAGCTACCAGGACACAGGCCCCACCAACACCCTTAATCTTCTCCTCGGCTCTTCTGCTGAAGAACTTGGCCTTCACAATGACAGGCTGCTTTGGGAGCTTTCCCTTCCCCAGAACTTTGTAGTAGCCCGATCGCACCACATCAATGATGGGAGCAACTCCAGTCTTGCTTTTGGCAGCATTCACCCGTGTCTGCTCACTGACCAGGGTCCACAGTTTGTCAAGGTTGACAGTTGGGCAGAAGCTCTGGTTCCTCTTCAAGTGGTAATGCCTCATACCAACTTTCCCAAAGTAACCTGGGTGATATTTGTCGAAGTTGATCCTGTGATGATGCAGGCCGCCAGCATTCCCGCGGCCCCCCGGGTGCTTCCTGTGCTTGCCGATGCGGCCGTGGCCGTGGCTCACGTGGCCCCGAAGTTTGCGGGTCTTCCTCAGTCTGGATGGCATGTCGGCGGCCGAGTAGCAAGAGGAAGGCTCTTGCGAAGTCCTCACATGTTCTTACTACATGTTCTGTGTCCCTTGTCCCCCAGCCCAATTCCAACGCGGAGACTCCATCCTGGGCGGTCAAGTGTCCAGGCTGGCCAGGAAGCAGGGCAGGGTGGGGTGACTCCCCAGGACACCCCTCCCTGCACATTTGGGGACGTGGGGACAGAGCTGAGGGTACAGTCCTCTGTCCATGGCTGGGAACCAGGCTTCCCCAATCTGTTTTAAGGAAAGAAACCTTTTGTTTCCTTAAAACAAAGGCTATGGAATAAAGCAAGATATTTCAACAGTTAGGTACGCGCCTTCTACATTTCAGAAACATACACTTGAAACTTTTCAATTAGAAAAACTAGAAACTAAATCTACCACTTTTTTGTATTGTGATTCCTGGGTACATTGTAAAGAGCTTTCTAAGCTAGCAGATCACATGTGACAGCGCCACCCTGTGACACTCAGTAGCGCCACACCTCAAAGAGGCTTCTGAGGACGCTCCGCACTCACAGGCGTTGTTCTCTTAGAGGATCCAGGAGAAACGCCCGTCCAATCTCACCGCTGGGCATAAGGCTCCATTTTCCTAAGCGCCTCTCTATTTTCAATTGGTAACTTGTTAACAAAGCAGATTTTACTCTTTACACCGGCTCTTAGTAAATTTAAAGAAAACGTGGGTAACTGGGTTGAGGTGAGTAGGCTTATTGGGAAATGACCCGAGCTCCCTCTGTGTTACCTGGACGACAAGCCTCGTGGGGCTGCCTGGGGCTCCTCCCTTCTCTCGGCTTCTCTCGGCTTCCTAGGAGACCAGAGGGTTGCTCTGAGGGCAGACAGCACCCCCCACCCTCCATCCCCCAGCTGCCCTGGGCCCTCACGCTGCCACACGCCAGGCCGCTGGATTCCCAGGCAGCTCCTGCGAACAGCCAATGCCACCTGAGCTGGTGCCAGGCCTGCACCGCCCCACTGACCGGGGGCTCTGACTTGTCCTGGATGCGGTGACAGCAGGAGAGCGGGGTCCTTCCCCGGAACGTACACCTGCTTCATTCCAGCTCGGGGCCGGGTGCACCTCTTTCAGGGCCAGAAGGACCAGGGCCTGATCTTTGGCTGGTAAGTTTGGCTACTTGGTTTGCCATGAGGATTGGCTGTGCCAATGAGTTTACATGGCAGGCACTTTCCAAAAACTGGGACAGCTACATCTGCAGCCCCAAGGTTTATACAAAAGTATATTTAAAACATGGGATAAAATAAAAGCATTTTGGCGGGGCTGGCGTGACTCAGTGGTTGAGCGTCGATCTAGGAACCAGGAGGTCACAGTTCGATTCCCGGTCAGGGCACATGCCCGGGTTGCGTGCTCGATCCCCAGTGTGGGGCGTGCAGGAGGCACCCGATCAATGAATCTTTCTCATTGTCGATGTTTCTATCTCTCTCTCCCTCTCCCTTCCTCTCTGAAATCAGTAAAAATATATTTTAAAAATAAATAAAAATAAAAGCATTTTGTTTAAAAATATATTGTCAAGGATGTATTAAAATTAACTATTTCGCCCTGACTGGTTTGGCTCAGTGGATAGAGCATCAGCCTGTGGACTGAAAGGTCCCAGGTTCGATTCCGGTCAAGGGCATGTACCTTGGTTGTGGGCACATCCCCAGTAGGAGGTGTGCAGGAGGCAGCTGATCAATGTTTCTCTCTCATCGATGTTTCTAACTATCCTTCTCCCTTTCTCTCTGTAAAAAAATCAATAAAATATATTTTTTAGAAAATTAACTATTTCAATTTTGCAATTATTTTTAAGTAGATTAAACTAGGAGTTTAAGTAAATCATTAATACGTATAATTATAATAATTTGACAAGTCACAATAAAGTCTCAGATAAGCTTGAGATATCACTGGTGGGTGACTCTAATGACTAGTCACAAACCCTCTCATGGAGCAGGTGGTCTCCAGTTCTTTGCATTCAACAAAACTGCAGAAGGATCTAGTTGAGATGATAATTGACAGCTCCATCAGTAAAAATAATTACCAATGAGCGAGCAATGTAATTTTGGCATATAACTTTGGCATCACCCAAAATTGAGTGATGATGTTACAGTAAAAAAAACAACAACTTCTTCATTCCACCTACTTTTTATGTGAAGACATTTCTCATTGGTTCCGTATATAAAAAGGAGGAAGAGAGGAACTAAACTGTCTCACTCTATCAATAAATCATGTTCACCCACAGATAAATGAACTAATTGGCACCAGTGATCTCATTCAGAGGCATATGCCCAATACCTTTTGTTACGTTTGATAAGCAGCTGGTAACATTTACGATGCGTCGGTATTGGGTCCATTGTATGGCTGCTGGTCATTATGAAGAGAACCCAAATTGGGAGGAATTGTTTTACTCTTAGAGCCCATTGTTCACAGATCACATGGTCCTGATGCAGAGAAGTATCCGAGGGCGAATGAAAAAGATGTTCAAGCATTACTATGTGTTACCCTCGAATAAAATCCTCTGAGACCTGGAACGGAACCGGGTTCAAGGAGATAAAGCGAACATAAAGGGTTGGCTGTGGAAGAAGAGCTTCATCTAATTGTTGCTGGACGAGGGTAGGCCTCGCACGGACATGGCATTCAGTCACCGGACGGACATCAGAAAGAGATGCTACTCTGTTGAACATTAATATTCATCATATGTTGGGAATTATATCCCTTGCTATTATTTAAACTTTTTCTAAAAATACTAGAGGCCCAGTGTACGAATTCATGCACGGGTGGGGTCCAGCTAGCCCTGCCCTGATTGGGGCAGATTGGGCCTGGCCGACCGGGGGGAGGGGCCGAGAGTGGGTTGGCCAACTGGCC